CCTCGATCTTTTAACCGAGCAGAAGAATTCCATTACTTCTTACCTGTATGAGAGCACACAAGCGAAAACTTCTTCTTTTTCTTCTATGTATCATGTCCATTCAGGACGTTGGCAAACATGGCTTTGCACAATTTCCTGACCTTTGTAGCGATTAATAAATTTTGTCATTTTGTTGTCTTTCCTCAACCTTGTTCTGCTAACCATTTCCACAAACTAGTTAGGTAGGTTATACGTTGCTTCCCTCAGTCCATCTTGCCTTCAATGTTTACTGTGTTAAAGTTTCATATTTTCCAACCTTTCTTTCCTCATCAAATGCCCTATATATGTGTACTTTTTGCTTCCAATTTTTTATAAAATTTTGTCTTTAATCATCTGTTCTGTTCATAATTAATCAAAATAAACATAAGCCGATAATAATAATAATAATAATAATAATAATAATAATAATAATAATAATAACTGGAAATTATCAAGTACATATACTAAAATATTGTGTTTGCCCAAAATGCAGATTCTGCGATAAATATTCAGAAATGATTGATCATCTTGTATCAGGTTGCACGATATTGGCACCCACTGAGTATAAAACCTGGCATGACAGAAATGGGCCAATATCTGCACTGAAAAATTTGAAACTTCTACAGGAAGGTAACTGGGAGGAACTGGTTACGGAGATAGGACCAGTTGAAATTCTATGGGACTAAACAATACACTCTGACAGAACAATCAAAGCCAACCGCCCAGACATTGTTATTAAAGACCACAAACAAAAAAACATGGGACATCAACAATACCTGTTGCAGTTGGAGCCCTAGGATTGGTTGGAAAAGATTCAAGTAGACTAATTGAAGGGATTCCTGGAAGTCCATGCCTCAAAGAAATACAAAAAAAATGTTCTCACAAGTACAGCCCACACTATATCCGAGTAAAAATTTTTTTGTAAGTGGAAAGTTTCATGATGCCATTTCTAAGCTTAGGTCTCTGGGCGGGACCCGGAAAGAAATGTGTACAGGCTAGAAATCAAAGGAAATAAAAACAACAACAACAACAAAAACAATAACAACAACAACAATAATAATAATAATAATAATAATCTTTAAAAAAAAATACAAGCTTGAAGTGGTAATCTCAAAGATATGGCACATGATGACATCAGTAATTCCAGTTGCAGTGGGAGCCCTCGGATTGATTGGAAAAATGTTACGATAGACACATCGAAGGGAATTATCTTAGTCCATACCTGAAAGAAATACAAAAAAAAAATGTACTTACTAGTCCAGTTCACATATTACGAAGGGCTTTATCTATGTAAAATATCTGTGATCTTTTTTTTTTAAAAAAAAAGAAATATCTGTGGAAATTTTCCTGAAGCCATTTCTGATCTTGTGTCTCTGGTTAGGACCCGGAAAGAAAATGTGTATACAACAGAAAAGCAAGGAAATTATAATACTATTACTTCTTCTCCTCCTCCTATTACTAATAATAATGAAGTAATACTATATATCATCGTATTATTATTCTGTTAGTGTCTTAGTTACTTTGTACGTACATTACACTCTCTTACTGCCTATTATTATTTCGCGGGTATTTCCCGTTATTAGAATTATTAGTATACTAGTATTAAATCACTATTATTAAAATAGTCCTGAGGGTCTTATTAAATTTACAAGTAGAATATTGTGTGATTCAATGTTGTCATTTTTAAACAACGCTTGGCCGTTACAAGGCTAAAGATTCACTCAGAGTAGTAGGTTGTTAAATGTGTTTCTGTAAGAGTAGGAAGTGAAGTCTGTTCCACAAAGTGGTTTGACCATGAATTATTGCACACAAAAGAAAACAGACGTCTGTGTGTTAGATAACGAAGAAATAGCATGCGTCATCATTAGAGATATTGTATACCCTGGAGATAATGGAGTTGTTAACAAATAAGAACAAGAAGGAAAACAGAAAAAAAACTGCGATAGTTTGACAGAGGAAATGTATGAAGTATATATAAAATGTATCAGTAAAAAGAGTAGATAAAATACTCACTGTTGTACTTGGTCTTTGGCACGATAAGTAGAGAACTCCCGAAGCGGCAGTAGAAGATTGCTGTGTTTGCAGCTCGATTAGTAACAATACTAATGGTAATATTTTATCTCAAGCGTGGGCAAACATTTTCGAACCACATGAGATATAGTTCGCTATAAAATGAGCGGCATAGTATATAAAAAAATTAATGGTAATTTTTCGCTGACGATATCGAGACCATTTTCACAACAGAAGAACATACATATAAGCATCTACATTAGAAATAAGGAAAAGTAGCTTTATTTCTTTGGAGAAAATTCTTTTGTTTTGCTATAATTAAACAATTTAACTCTGAGAAAACAATCATTGCTCATCCATTAGGCATAGCAATCAAAGACCTCAAAAACAGAAGGTGCTTCATTAATGGCATCCTAGTTCCTGCATACAGTAATATATATTTGAAGTTATCAAAATACAAGGATCTTCAAGTGGAAACCTAAAAATGTAGCCCATGTAAGACATCAATGAATCCAATTTTGGTTAGGGCCATACATTTCATTGGAAATGGTTCTGATAGACTCATAGAAAGCTTCCTTAACAGACCATACCTTAAAGAAATACAAAAAAAAGATTCTTAGAAGCTCATTTCACATCATACGAAGGCCTTTATCTTATGTAAAATGCGTAAGCTCGTTTTATTGTTTGATTTGTATTTTTTACAAACATGTTCAGTTGAAAATGTCTTAATGTCATTTCTGACTCAAGGGCTCTGATTGGGTCCCAGAAGGAAATGAGCATACAACAGAAAACAAAGGAAATACTACTACTACTACTACTACTACTACTACTACTACTAATAATAATAATACACAGACAGAGCAGGACTTTACAATACAAACAGACAGGACAGTCAAAGCTAATCGCCATGACATCGTGATTAGAGATGGCAAAGACAAAATGTGCCTTTTTGAGTATTATCGAGCAAGTACTATTAGTGCGAGTGTTATTCGAAGGCGTCTGATACCAGTATTGTTCAAAAGCGTTACTAAAGTTGTATCTGCGATTACAAAGTCTCTACTACAATGTGCATTAGGAAATGGGTATCCGTTGACATTACAAAAGTGGCAACGAGTGTTCGTTGACATCAGAAAAATTTGCAAACGGGTATAGGCTGAAGGCCTTGTCTATTTTATCAGAAATACTATCACTCAACTGCCTTCATATGAAGGGGAACGGTAGAGAAAGAAAAGATATCTGAGTTAAGTAGAGAGAGACCGAGACACAAAAACTTCAAGAGTAGTCAAATGGTTCTTTTTATGTGCCGTGTCCTTTCAGGACGTAGACGATCATGGCTCTCCACTTCCCCATATCCCCTGTGGCTCTCAACTCCCCCAGACCACGTTCTGCCATCCACTTGCTTAAGCCCGCCAGGTATGTCATGCCTTGCTTTCCCTTGTCTCCTTTTCCCCTCAATTCAACCTGTGAGTATCAGATTCTCCAGGCCCCCTTTCTCATTACTTCTCCCAGAAATTTCATCTGCCTCTTCCTGATGTTAAGTATAAGCTTTCTCCTTGTTTGCATCCTTTCCAAAACCTCATCGTTGCTCACATCCTCGTTCCATGATATCCTGAGCATACTTCTCCGCTGCCTCGAGTCTCTTTTTCATCTTTAAGAAGACCGTTCAACATTTGCTGCCGTATAGGAGGTCTGATATCACGTAGCAGCTCAGTACTTTTTTCTTTGTCACCAAAGAAATCCTCTCGCAGTGCTCTGCCTAGCTTTTGGAATTCATCAATAATTTAAATAATTTGAAAAATTATTCGAAAAATTATTAAATATAATTTAATGGTTTCTTGGCATTAATTATAATTCCAGTTTGACCACAAATATACCGGCTTTATTCTATTTGGTGTTGCTTCCATAACTTCATGCTTGAAAACAAAATAATATATTTTGTTTTATAGATATAGTTAATGAACGTAATACTAGTTTGATATAAAGACGTATCATTCTACAAATCTTACAAACATTTGTATTACGATGGTAAATTATAAAATGATCTCACTCTGATGGAGTTGATTCTTAAAAACATGATATTTAATAGCATTGCAGAAATCCACACAGACTCAAGTAAACAAGATAAAACAGGAAAAAGTGGGAATATTCAATAAAAAAAAATATAGTTTATTCTTACAACAGTTTTATTTTTATTTTTAGAATATATTTTTTTATCAGGCTTGAATCAAAAGATGCAAACAACTCCATTTTTTGTGTGCATTCTCAGTTATCTCCCTTAGATACTCTTTATTCTTATTCACGTAAAGGAATTGATCGCGTAGTTTTTTTTAAAATCTTTATTCGTTATTTCATACATTTTGTTTTTGTTTTTTTCTTTTTAAATTTCCGCCATCCAAATACTCGTTTCCTTTGTCCGGAGTTTTTTGATTCAGTTGATGATTGAACAAAAAATAAATGAAGATTTATAAGAAACAAAATCTAAAGCAGCATTGTTTAAATGAACAATGAAAACAAAAATCCTGTTATGGCAATAATAAAAAAAGATTTGAAGAAAAAATAAAAGGAATTAATCGATAACAGTATCAATCCAGTAAAATGATAACAAATATATCAAAATAACAATTAGTAATTATAAAACAAAAGAGAACTTAAATAACTATGATTATTAATGGCTTCCAGAATTTGTGACTATCTATCTATCTATCTATCTATCTATCTATCTATCTATCTATCTATCTATCGATCCTAATTTGTTCATATTCTTTCTTTTTTCCTTTCTTTCTTTCTTTCTGTCTACCTACTGTCTCTCGACAATGTATTTATTTATCAATCACCACTTGTTAATATTCTATCTATCTATCTATCTATCTATCTATCTATCTATCTATCTACAATGTACCTATTAATCAATCCTAATTTGTTCATATTCTTTCTTTCTTTCTCTTTATCTGTCTATCTACTGTTTCTCGATAATGTATCTATTAATCCTCATTTGTTCATATTCTATCTATCTATCTATCTATCTATCTATCTATCTATCTATCTATCTTTCAAAGTGTACATTTTTCTATCTACTGTCTCTCGACAATGTATCTATTTATCAATCGTCATTTGTTCATATTCTTTGTTTCTATCTATCTATCTATCTATCTATCTATCTATCTATCTATCTATCTATCTATATGTATATATATATATATATATATCTATATCTATATATATATATATATATATATATATATATATATGCATGTCTGTTTTTATCTATCTATTTATGTCAGTTTTTTCTCATCTATCAATCTAGGTGGCTGACATATATACAACACATAATGTACTACTACGAATATTAGTAGTACTACTACTAGTAGTACTGCTACTACTAGTAGTAATACTACTATTCATAATAATACCTCGACGTTGGTCAATATGTTCGTAACATGACACAGCTTTTAGCTGATTTTCAATCTAAACTTTTCTTCATATTATAACCGGTCTATTTGATTAATATTTACATCGGAATTAAGTGCATTGACACGGATGTTGACACAGCAACCGACGGGTGAGGGGTATATTTGTTCCTGTCCCGGTTGTAGGTGCTCGGGTTCCCACCTAAAACCAGACCTTGTGTCACATCTCGTCCTAGTGTGTATGGCAGACTAAATTGGAAGAATAACAATGGAACAACTTTACGGATATATTTAAGAAAGCATCTTAAAGAAAAGGCGGTGAAAAGAGATGGATATTCTTCATCTATGTTTAGTGTCCCTTCAGGATGTTGGCGATCATGGCTCTGTCCAAATTTCTGTTCTTTGGTTGCTCTTAAAAACTTCTTTTTTTTTGTCATCTCTCTCAAACCCTACGCCTTCATTCATTCACTAAAGCCCACCAGGCTTAACTTTCCTCTGTCTCTCTTACTTTCAATCTGTCCTGTAAGGATCAAATTTTCCAAGCCCCCTTTCCTCATTATGCGCCCCAGAAATTTCAACCAGTTGTTAAGTGTAAATTTCCATTTTGTTACCAATATCTGTAGATGTTCATCGTTGCTCACATGTTCGGTGTATTTTATTATCAGCATCCTTCTGTAAAACCATATTTCTGCTGCTTGAATTCTTTTCTCCGTTTGTGAGGAGATTGTTCAGCATTCAAAGACATATATAAAGACTGATATTGCATAAGAGTTCAGTACTCGTTTCTTTGTTTCTAACGAATTTTTTCTTTTTCTTCAGACGTTGCTCATCATTTGGAAGAAATCTTTTACTATCCCAATGAGCTTTTGGATTTCACTGTCAAACTTTCCCTCCTAATAATTTTCTATGGTTAAAAAAAAAGATGTTAAAACAAATCAGAAGCGAATAGAGCCAGCGGACATAAAAGAAAAACATATGAAATTAAAAACCCAGAAAAATACTATGGATCGTCTTCTACTATAGGGCTTGCAAAAAGAAGACCTCTTCATCCCAATTAGGTAACGCTTTAAGTCTGAAGAGATACCGCGCCGTCTAAGTTGAAATGTTTCTAGTCAGAACATTCCCACAGAAAATGGCAGATCACCGAATCGCAGGATGAGAGTCTGCGTTTGTAGAACCCAGCTGTAACTTCACCCAAATGATCGACTCGACTCACTTGTGACTACAGTGCCGTTCGATAAAAGTGACTCAACTGATTTTTTTACTAAAAATATTTTTTGTCGATTGTTTTGGGGGCTAACATAATTTTTAATCTTACTAATATAAAGACCCCTTCCCGACCACCCAGGAAAAAAGTTTATTCACCCTAAGGCATTCTATTGATAATGATAAATTTGGATATAAAAGAGATTCAGGAAAAATCTCTGTGCAAAAACGTGACTCAGATATCGCGTTCTAATGATTAAACTGGTAAATTTAAAGAGCTTTTGACAAAATATTGAAAACTATTTTACAATACACTCAGAACAATATTCAAGAGAATTCTAGAACAGCTTAAATTAAATCTAGAGTATTCTAGAATATTCCAGAAGGCATCATACAGTATAAAAACAGCTTGAAATAGCCACTCAGAACCACTTAATGCATCTATTATTGCCCTCTCAAAAGCAGGCAAGACTACGAGAGAAATTGCAGAAATTGCTATAACCTCGCAATCAACTGTCTCTCAAGTGCTTAGGCCACATAATTATGCCACTCCTGCTCCAAAGAAGGAAACAAGGGGACTAAAGAAAATGATTGATGACAGAACTGGCAGGGTAATCAAGAGAAAAGTTGCGAAGAATAGGACTATGGCTAGCCAAGAAATTGCAGCCAGTCTAAGCGAAGAGCAAGGTGTTAGTTTTGCTTCTTCAACAGTCCGTCGGTGGTTGTTAGAACAAGGCTACAAATTTTGTACACGAAGGATTAAGCCGCTAATAAGCAAAGCCAACAAAGCCAAGAGATTTGAATGGGCTCACTACTACAAACATTTCACCGTAGAAGAAACATTCAAAGGATAAGGTGAGTCACTTTTATCAAACAGCACTGTAGTTAACAATATTTTAATGTTTTAGAAGAAATATAAATCTTAAGTTTTATTTTAATGGAAGGAGGGATTGCAGATATTCCTGGTTGATTTATCCTTGGAATAAACGAACTAACAGCTTCAGTATATGTCTATATTTCTGAATAAGGCCGGAGCGTACAACGGCCGAAACGTTGTTAATATGACAATAAAGATGTGAACAACAGTCTGAATGATATCTGTCTATATTTCTGAGATGAGGTATTATGTACACTATTTACATTATTCGGACTATTGTCCTCATCTTTGTCGCCACATTTATCACAACGTTTCGGCCTTTCTACGTTCCGGCCTTCTTCAGGTGCTTGGAATGTTTATACAGCGTAAAGAAAGGGGGATTAACAGGAGATAGCTGATAACTGACATCCATTAGACATGGTAAGTGGATCTAGAACATTCTACTTCAGCGAGTGAAATAAAGGTTTTGGTCCGACATTCCAGAAATTATTTCTCACTTGTCAATTTGAAATGAAGTCTTAGATATTCCTTAAAATGTAATATTTTAGCTGAAACGACATTTACGTTTCTTTTCACACGTATGCCCCTCATTGTCTACATTAGATAACATAGAATTTTTCTTTCATTCACACCGTCTCAGTAAAACGATTTTTATTTGATGTTGAAACGATAAGTTTTCAATTTCTATTTCCTAAAAGAAATAATTTATTGAATCTTTGCTACTCATAATATTACAGTTTTTGTGAAGAGAAAAATGATTAACCAAACTGAAAATGAATAGCGATTTACTAAGCGTAGGTTAGAGGGAGAACAAGGCGTAAAATATGGAGCACTCAGTGAGGATCGAACTCACTACTGAATTGATTTAACGAGACAAGATTGCTAGTAATTACACCACGTCGAAGTGCCCAGTGATTTCTTAAATGTAGCTTAAACGTGGCAGGAGGCTGCAAGTATGGAACGCCCAGAGAGTACAAAAACTCTCTACTCAGTCATAATTGATTGAGCGGGACAAGTTTGTTAACCATAACACTCTGTCTGAAACCAAAAATGAATACGCAAAAGTGAACTCAAAAGGATGAATCAATGAAAGTGAAAATGTCGGGACTCTCAATAAAATGGAACGGTTCAGAAGATTTCGGATATTCATATAAACCAGAAGCTGTCCCCAGAAATATTATAAATATAAGATAGGTATTTGGTGTATGTAATAAATGAAAAAAATTTGCTTCCATGATGATGATGATGATGATGATGATGAGAATAAGAGGAAATTGAAATTTATAACGAAGAAAATAATTGAAGCTGAAATGATGCGGAGGTGTACTGACAAAGAAAAAAAACAATTTTAGTTTATAATAAATCCACAAAGTCGATGTTTATTTTTCCATTTTTTAAAATGAATACAAAACAGCAATCAGAGAAAATAATTATTTTCAATGTCCACTTTTTCTATATTTCTAGTTTTATTTAATTTTCAAGTTAAAAAAAAATACAAAAAAAATTACATTTTAACAAACGTGAAATATCTGAGAGATTGTCATAGTTTTTTTTAAATTTTACTGTGAATTGTTTTTATTTTGTCATCTTTTTCTTTCATTAATTTTATTGTTCAGTCTTTAGTGCTGAGTGTAGTTCTTAAAAAAACATACATTCTTCTTTTTCTAGTCTTTCTCTTTCCATTTATTTGAACATGCAATGATGTAGAATCATTTTCCAAGCTTTTCTTTCTTTTCTTCTTTCTTTCTGTCGTTCTTTTTATTCCTTTCTGTCGTTCTTTCTATTCCTTTCTTTCTTTCTTTAACCAGCAATTTTTAAATCGTTTTCAAAGGTTTTCTTTTTTCTTTCTTTCTTTTCTTTTCCATTCCTTGTTTCTTAGTTTGTTTCGCCCGTTGTTTGTTTGTTCCTTTCTTTCTTGAACATGCAAATTTTTAAAGACGTTTTCTCAGCTTTTCTTTTTATTTTCTTTCTTTTCCTTTCCTATATTTCTTTCTTTCTTTCTTTATTTCTTTCTTTCTCCATCTATTTTAAATCATTTTGGCAGCTTTTCTTTTTTCCTTTCTTTCTTTTCTTTTCTTTTCGCTGTTTCTTTGTTTCGTTTTTTGTTTGTTTGTTTCTTTGTTTTTTTGTTTCTTTCTTTCTTGAACCTGCAGTTATTAAAATCGTTTTTCAGGTTTTCTTTCTATTCTTTAGTTTCTTTTCATTCTTTTTTTTTCTTTCTCTCTCACTCTTGAACCCGCAAATTTTCTTTTCTTTCTTCCTTCTTTCTTGAACCTGAAATTTAAAAAAAAATTCTTTTTTTCAAGTTTTCTTTCTATTTTTCTTTATTTGTTTGCTTTCTTTATTTCTTTTCTTTCTTTCTTTCAGCTTTCTGAAGACTTCGATTATTGTTTATCTCATTCATTCTTCTTATTTTCAGTTAGCTTTATTTGTTTTTCTTTCTTTCTTTCTTTCTTTCTTTCTTTCTTTAGGCTTTTCACAAATTCCATTCCCTCATACATTCATATTTATTTGTCCTCCAGGATTTTCAACCGTCGGTATCTTTTCTTTTGTTCCTTTTCCTTTATTCTCGCTCATTTCCTTGTCCTCCTCATTAGTAGTGATGGCATCAAGTAAATGATCCATTCCTTCAGCCATTGTCACAAACGAGGGCCCATTATTCAAAATCGCCCCTTTTTTTTCCAATAAACTCATGAATAAAAGATGTTCAGGAAAACTTCATAAAACGACATTAAAAATGTAAATTGCATACAAAAAAGGTCACTTGCTAAATTGGACTCGAGTTTGTATATAAATGTTTTTATTAAGAGGTTGCTTTGTAATGTGTGTATTTTCATTTGAAATTCTCGTCTGTTTTTGTCATTTTATTAAAGTCAGAGTAAAAAAATGGAAAAAATAAAACATACCCTCGAGAAAGGTTTTTCCTACTTTTTCTTACCTATTCAATCCACGTTTATATTTGAATGATTTCACACCTGAAAAACAAAAAAAAAAAAAACCCAAAAAACAAAAACATTGTTATTTATTGATTTCTTAATACAAAATAACTTCGTTCTTCTCTCTTTCATTATGAATTCGCTATTTTTTCATTCTTTGTTTCTGTGTTTGTTTCTTTTTTATTATTATTATTAATTTCTTATATGGTCATTCTTTCTTTATTTGCCTTATTAATTCATTCATTCATTGTTTCTTTCTTTCTTTGTTTGATTAATTCGTTATTTGTCTGTTCTCTTTTTCTTTCTTTTCATTACGATTCGTTATATATCCATTCGTTCTTTGTTTTTTCTTTCTTTGTCTTCGAATTTGACTAGTCTTCATTCCTCCGTCCTTCCTTTCTTTCTTTTTGTTACACATTTTCTACTCTTCCTTCCTTCCTTCCTTCCTTCCTTCCTTCCTTCCTTGTCTTATCCGTTTTTATGTAACCTTTTTCTTTCTTTCTTTCTTTCTTTTTTTCTTTCTTTGTTTGTTTCACAAATTTTTGTCTGCTCTTCGTTCCTTCCTTCAATTCTTTCTTTCTTTCTTTCTTTCTTTCTTTGTATTATCCGTTTTTGTGTAGGCTTTTCTTTCTCTCTTTCTTTCTTTCTCTTTCATTTATTGTAATACTTTAAATCTTATTACAGAAACCAGTGTTTCTGCAGCGTTTCTTATATTAATTATTTCATAGAATTGCATTTTTGATTGAAATTACAGTCTTTCTCTTTTCTTCCATTAATATTTTACCAACTTTTATGCTTTTACTCAAAATGCTTTCATGGTGTTCAGGTTCAAGCTACGAACTTTCTGAGAGTTCATACGCAAATATTCAAAGATAGACTCTCTTAAAGATAATAGCAGCACATCTTTAAAACTATTGTTCTTTTTGCAACTAAATGATCATCGGAAACACAATAAATGCTATTTGCACGCACACGCACGCAAACACACACAAACATGTACACTCACATACACGAACGCACACTTACTCTCTATGTATATATTTCACGCACGCATTCATAAACTGATTTACTCTGAAACAGTGATTTGATTTTTAATTTAGTCTGTCGTTTTCCTTTGAATTGTATGCATCGTCTGCTTTTCTTTCCATTTAGTGTCATGTGCTTTCTTTCATAAACCCATTCTTTAGTGTTCTTTTATCTTCTTTTAGCCTTCTCGTTTTCTTTTCGTTTTGGTTGAAACATTCACCAACTGAAACTGAAATGTTGCTCAGTGATCACAATGAAGATGACGGATTCGAGAGTTTACTAAAATAGAGAATCCTTTTTATTCTTCTTGCATTCTTTCGCTGTTCTTTTCCTTGTTTCTTTCAAAATAGTTTAGCTACATTTTCAGTTGTGTTTCCTCTGTAGTGCAAATGATTTATTTGCAGTTTTTTTTCTTTTACTGCTGCCGGGCAAAATTTGGGATTTTTCTTTGGCATTGTTTAAGAGCATCGAACCAACACGTTTTTTTTTTGTTTCTTGTAATATATATATATATATATATATATATATATATATATATATATATATATACAAGACAATTTTCCTGATTGCGTCTGCAAATTTACACTTCATTCTTTTTAAAATTTCCTCAGTCGCTTGTTTAAGCACGTGATTCTTCTCATCAATTAAATTATTTTTATAATAATGTTCACAAAATACAACCCCAAGAGCCACTAAAGGTAGATTGTTACCGTGTATTTTTTTCTGAGCGGAAAAAGAGGCAATGAATACAGTTTATACAGGAAACATAATTTTGTTTGGAGAAGGTTAAGATAGTAGTAATCGGGAGAATAACCTGCTGCAAGTCTCTCTATCTTAAAGCATCTGTCCAAGTGGAACTTCTTACTGATTGAAAACGAGAGAAATGGGAATGGTTCTTCTTTGTGTATGTGATATGGCGGGCCCCAACTGCAAAGATCAAAGGGTTGGTGGGATCAGGGAATTTAGATCAACTGTTAATTTACCAAAAAAATAATGCTATGGGAGAAAGATGTTAATCGGTAGAAAATAATTCAACATTCACAAGGCCTCTTAGACGATTTTCAACCCGATCTATCTATCTATCTATCTATCTATCTATTTTATTCTGGTCATATCTGTCGATCTAGCAGTCTTATTCCGAGCATAACACACTCTCTTTCTATCTTTCTCTCTCTCTGTGCTATCTTTGATATTGGTAATATCCTTATATTTAGTAAATTGGATATTATCTATCTATCTATCTATCTATCTATCTATCTATCTATCTATCTATCTATCTATCTATCTATCTATTCTGGTCATATTTGTCTATAGGAATGTTATTCTGAGCATAACACTTTCTCTTTGTCTTTGTATCTTTCTTTCATCATATTGGTCATATCCTTATGTTTAGTAATTTGGATATCTATCTATCTATCTATCTATCTATCTATCTATCTATCTATCTTATTCTGATCATATATGTCTATGTGTCAATCTTATGAGCATAACTCTCTATTTCTATCCTTCTCTTTATTTTTCTCTCTTTCTCATTCTATCTTTCTCTTTCTGTCTCTCCCTGTCTCTCATGTTGGTCATATCCGTTTATCTAGTAATCTTATTCTGAAGATCTATCTATCTATCTATCTATCTATCTATCTATCTATCTATCTATCTATCTATCTCCTTCTAGTCATAAATATTACACATACTAAATTGCTACAAGTAGAAAAATAATACAAATAAAAACAAAATGATATTTAATAATAACAATGGTGCAATTGAAAGAAAACTAGAAGATGATATATTAATGTATGTAGAAGAAAGTAAATTGAGAAATAAAGATGAAGTGACAAGTGAGAAAACATGAATCTGATTTGAATGCAACGGCCTTTCTAAGTTGGGGAAACAATTTTAGAAACGTTTTCTTCCAGTGAAAATTCTGCGCGGATTAAATCGAACGCCTGAAGAGAATGCTACAATTATTTTCAACAACAACAAAAAAAAGATAATTTCCTTTCTTGGCGGGTTGATTTGAAAACTTGATAAGAGTCTAAATTGCAGTTGCAAAACAAACGAAAAAGAAAAAAAAGAAAAGAAGCAAAAATGAAGAATTTGAAATCAATTTTTATTTCATATGAAGAATGGAAAAGAACATTCTTTTAAAGAATTGACTAACAAAATATAGTAATGAGTTCAATCTGTCGTTGAAATAAGATCAGAATCATTTGTCTGCCTCTTTGTTTTTGAACAGATCTGGAGATGAAAAAGCGAATATTTTTGTCTGATTAACCACAAAAGTAAAACTCAACAAATTACGTGATAAAAGAAAAGGTGAAGAAAGTGACAGAGTAATACATAGAGTACTTTTGAAAAAAATGTTACGCTTGTAAGTTTAGAATAATTTATTGAATTCGAGATATGCAATTAAATGAATGATTTCGTAGTGTAAATTTAAATTGTCTTGAACTTTGCTTAGTGTTTAGTAAGAAAATAATTCTTTAGTTTCACGTCTTCAAGCGGATATCAAAATAGGTAGAAACTTATGAATAGAGAGAACGGAGCGACAATCGATGTAGCAATCGGATAAACGCAGTGAGTATCAAATGAAATCTAGATGTTTGTATATGGCATAGCATGTCGGATTTTTCATATGTTTTGCTCCTTTTATTTTGAAGAATTTAAAATAAAAAAAAATTATCTATGGAAAATCTATCTATCTATCTAATCCCAAAAGCCATTTATCACATATTATATTGGCAGAAATATTACCAATCTCTTGTAATTTTACTCTATATTTCTGGGATGAGTTAAATATCGATCTGACTAACCTACAGAGAATTCAAAACTGAACCCTTCTCCGTCGGGGGTGGGGGCAGATACAATGTTCTCGTTTCTCTGCTTATGTCTCGTTCTTATAGCTCTGTTCAGTCATTGCTCGTCTATTTAACTGAGTAAACGTACAAACTGACCGACCCAGGTATTGAACTCACAACCAATATATCACCAATGCTTTTATCCTCTAGGCCATTACTTCGTAAGGAGGCCGATCAAAATGTTGTGATAACAACAACAAAGATAAGAACAAGAATCCAAATATAAATAATGTAAATAATGATGAACTATTTGAAGTTTCCAGGTAATGCAGCAGTTTGATAGAGCTAAATTCACTGTAAGATTTTCCCAGTATATTACATATTCATTTACGGTCTCATCTGCGCATGTGCGACAACAACTAACAGATATTTAATATTCGTTGTTGAATTCCTATCGCTTAGTGTATTGTATTGTGTTGGGGAATAAATCGTGAGCGTTTTTCAAAATGTTTTATTGTCATGGTCTTAAAATGTTAACTTACATAACATTCTCTGGTCCCCTGACGTGTATTTTCGTGAATAAACTGGTTTTATCGTTCCTCATCAAACTCCCATCCTTCAGCTGAAAATTTCCTTTTTTGAAGCGCGAAAACCAATGTCAGGCGGTACTTTGAAGCATTGCGCCATTTCCATACACGTCACAAAACTGACGAGCTGCTTTGGCGGCGTGAACTCGTCGATTCTATGCCAAAAAGCAAAAGATGTCGAAAATTAGCAGATTTTTTTAATTGACATTACATTTTAGTAGTCTGAAATAGAACCAAAAAGTAATGAATTTTTTTTTTAAATCATACATATATGTAAATATTAGAGCAATAAGAAATTGTTGTTCTGAAATATTCGCCAAATTATTGGCTTCTCAAAGATTTTTTACTTTCAAATAAACAAAACAAAAAAAAAACAAGAAACAAAAAAAACAAAAACAAAAAAAAAATAAACAAACAAAAAAACGTTCACAACTTATTCCCTAACAAAATACAATACACAAGGCGAATAATTAATATTAGTTGTTGGATTTCTATTCGCCTTGTGTATAGGAGATGCGTGCACATCTACAATACACAAGGCGAATATTTAATATTAGTTGTTGGATTCCTATTCGCCTTGTGTATAGGAGATGCGTGCACATCTACAATACACAAGGCGAATATTTAATATTAGTTGTTGGATTCCTATTCGCCTTGTGTATAGGAGATGCGTGCACATCTACAATACACAAGGCGAATATTTAATATTAGTTGTTGGATTCCTATTCGTCTTGTGCACATCTTCCATCTTTGTTCATTTTAGTGACTTTGTTTTGTAAATCAGAGAATTAATAAAAATAACCTTTTCATCAACAAAAGCGTAATGAAACGAAAGTTCCATATATTCATCATATCTTTGGCCAGTACTTCCTCTTGATCAATCGATTATTCACCTTCATATTTTTTCTGGACTCCCTTGAGAGGTTTGGCTACAAATCATAGTTCACCTCTAAGACATGTCTGGAATCGGCTTCCTCAGAAGATCAACGAATCTCTCGACTGACGACTTGGATTATTCTACTTCACTGGGTTTTCTCCTGAAAACATCCATAGGTAAGATTCTTTCCCACAACGTGGGAATTTTTTTTCTGTTTATTCTTAGAATGTTTCTTGATGTCGGTGTTTTGCTAAATTTAGATTTTACTTTATATTTTTGGTTTCTTTATTGCCTCTGAATTCATTTTCGAAATCAACAACGTCTGAACTAAAAAAGAATTATATAAATGGCTGATTTACACATTCTATGAGTCTCGTGATAATTTGTAGGGAATCACCATGAAGTTAAGTAAAAAAAAAACAGTTTCATCATAGATGGCATTTTGGAGGAAATAATTTGGAAATGAAATAAGAAAAATAAATTTAAGATCAGTCTTGACAAATGAAAATCATTACGTTATCAGAAAATGTATTTATTTATCGGTAGAAGGAGCAAAATACAGTGCTGTTCGATAAAAGTGACTCAACTGACTTTTTTACTAAAAATATTTTTTGTCTATTGTTTTTGGGGTTAAAATGATTTTTAATCTTACCCCTTCTTGACCACCTAGGAAAAAAGTTTATTCACCCTAAGGTATTCTAATGAAAATTATAATTCTGGATATAAATGAGATTCAGGAAAAAACTCTGTGCAAAAAAATTCACTCAGATATCGCATTCTAATGATTAAACTGGTAAATTTAAAGAGCTTCTGACAAAATATTGAAAACTATTTTACAATACACTCAGAAGAATATTCTAGAGAACAGCTTAAATTAAATCTAGAGTATTCTAGAATATTCCAGAAGGCATCATACAGTATAAAAACAGCTTGAAATAGCCACTCGGAACCAATTAAGGCATCTATTATTGCCCTCTCAAAAGCAGGCAAGTCTACGAGAGAAATTGCAGAAATTGCTATAACCTCGCAATCAACTGTCTCTCGAGTGCTTAGGGCATAAAATGATGCCACTCCTGCTCCAAGGAAGGAAACAAGGGGACGAAAGAAAAGAAAAATAATGATAGAACTGGCAGGGTAATCAAGAGAGAAGTTGCGAAGAATAGAACTATAACTAGCCCAGAAATTGCAGCCAGTCTAAGCGAAGAGCAAGGTGTTAGTTTTGCCTCTTCAACAGTCCGTCGGTGGCTGTTAGAACAAGGCTACAAATCTTGTACACGAAGGTTTAAGCCACTAATAAGCAAAGCCAACAAAGCCAAGAGATTTGAATGGGCTTATTATTACAAAAATTTCACCGTAGAACACTGGAGGAATGTTCCCTTCTCCGACCTTTGACAAATATTTTTTTAATCGTAATGGGTGTCTCGCCGACATTTTCATAAAAAAAAACTTGGTTATGGTACCACTTTAGTTATTGATGACCTGACCATGCGCTAAGTGTTACACGATACCACTTCGTATTCATTATTTGAATTTGCCCACGTTTGACAGTTAAAAAAAGATAGATATCCGTTGTTGGAATCTATAGTAACATTTTTACAACGACAATGTTTTCTTACTTAAAATATTACATCTTTCAATAGACTAAATTTGATCGTGCTTTCTTCCACCATTTATTTTGATATATGTCCTTATGCTTCTTAACAAATATGTTCATGTTTCTTACTCATGTTTTGGTAATATAATGTTTTTCGTCCATAGTCTTGTCACTCGGACACTTGCTAGCACATACGTATCATAGTTTTGAAGGACTAAGTTTTTTTTCAACGCACTCCAGTACTAGTAACGTTTCCAGTACTGTTTTTACTGTTTCTGCTTTTTTCCAACTAATCAATCACGTTTACGTCTCGTTTAAGTCTCGATCCCTATTTTTTTTATTAGTTTGTCTCTTTTTGTGGCACCATTTACGAGGCAGAGAAAGAAAGAGAAAGAAAAGAAGGCAGAAAGAAATGCGAGACGGATCATAGGTGATAAAACAGCCACACACATGGCCTAAGAGACAATGAAAATATTGATAAGTAACAAGTGAAAAAAGTGTGTCATTAGAATGACAGGAATTTCTGAGTAAAAAAAGAAAAGGAAAAGAAAGAAGGAACCAGATGTGTTTTGATAACGGCTATGTTATCTAGGTACGTAAAC